CATCCAGCACGGTTAAAAAGTGTTGGTACTTTAGATCGGACACCGTTTCAATGAGATGAATGATGCTCATAAAGACCAACTGATCGTATTTCTCGGGATTATCGTTCTCCACCAGGATGTTGAACAAAGCATCGAGTATGTCTTGCAGAAACTTGACTACCTCCTCGCCGGGTACCGCAGATAAAGCGTTTAGTGACTGCTCCAGCCTCTCCTTGTGTGCCGACCAATGCAACAACCCCAAGAGGCTTACTGCAATATCATATAGAAAATTAAAAAAAAAAATCTATTATTGAGCACCTGTCTGGTAAACGGAATAATCTTACCGCTCTGCGTTAGCTTAGTGCTGCAAAGATTGACATCGATGGTAAATTGATCCTTGGGCAAGAGACTTAGACCAGCTATTGATGGCTTGGCGCCCATCAGCTCAGCTGTGGTGGCTGGCAGCTCCATGTAACTGTTGCCCATGGTCTTGTCGTACTTCTTGTGATCAATCTTGTAGACAGCAAGCACATGCTGCCCCTGTGGTATGGTGGTGCCGTTGGCCTGCATTAGACGCACATAGGACAGGCCGAACGGCTTCTCGGAGCGATCCTTTTGCTCGTTGCTGCTGCGATGCTTGAGTGTGAAGCGCAAATGGCATTGCTTGAACTCCTCGATTGGCACGTGTATCTTGAACGTCTCCTGCCACTTGGGCTTGTCGTCGTGGTAGTACACCACCGATTTGTACTCATCGATGGGCGGATGGCCGGCGCCAATGCTCATTACGCCAGGCACCAGCTGGCCCTGTTCGTTGGCGACGCATACGGTCACCTCCACGTTCTTCTCGGACGTTTTGGCAATGCGCGCGAATTCGCCGCTGCAAATGGTCAAATAGAGATCGTTGCGCACGTCGCCCGGCAGTATAACCTCCGGGAAGCCCATTTTGCGCGCCACGGGCACATTGGTGTGCACGAGCCGTGGAAAGTCCTCCTTGATCTGCTTAATRTCGCCGCGCAACACCTCAAACGTTACAGCCATTTTGGATTCGATTTTGCCAATGTCCTTGTTGGCAATCAGCTTGCGCAGCGTGCCATCCAGTGTGTCCTTCTCGCACATGATGAACGGCAGGTCGAGATTGCCCCGAAATTCGTCCGGCTTGCTTATGATAGGCGTTAGATCCTTGCAGGCGACACCAAAGGGCCGACGCATCATGTACTCGCTGGTGCTGCCAGAGGAGCC